CGCATACGTGCAAAAAAGACGATTGCACCCATTACGCCGCACATGTTACATATCGCCGCAAACGTCGCAGTGAGAGCAATAAGTCTAGGGCCATCAATCACTGATAACACTAAACTGATGAGCGGTAAAAGCTTTTAAAGTGTCGCCTATGGGAAATTTTGGGTATGGTAGTTTTCTGCGATTTCGCGGGTGCTCGCAATTTTAAAGCTTGACATGTTTGGTGTCTATTTACCTGACGTGACCCGATCTTTTATATTTTACCAAAAAACTGGGTAATAATAAATGTTTCCTAACATAATGTAAAAAAAAATATTATTTTTTCAAAATTTTCTGTAATTTTTCCTAATTATAGTAAAAAATAAAAACCCCAGTGGTGTTTAAATACCACCAAAATAAAGCTCTATCTGTCCCCAAAAAATGGTATAAAATTTATTTCAGTACAGCGTTGCATGACAGAATAAACTTCAGTCAAAGTACCACAGCGCTGAATACTGAAAAATGGCCTGGCAAGGAAGAGGGTCTAAACACCTGGTCTTGAAGTGGTTAAATGAAAATCATTCCCTTGTGGTCCAGTGGGGAATCAGTATGATCTGCATCTCTTGCTGATGCAGATCATACTGATTGCTCCCTCGTGGTGCCACCACCGCTGACTAGCAGGGAGCGATTAGTATGGTCTGCATCAGCCAGAGAGCAGATCACACTGAATCCCCAAGTGCCACACTGGACCCAGGGATGCAGCCCCCCTTCCTGCAAAACAGGTAAGCAGGAAAGGGGGACATTTTTAATTAACTATTTTTACTTTTAATAGTTGTGTGAGAGTGTGCTTATTTTTTTTTTTAAATGAAGCTGTGTGGTTTTTTTTTTTTAAGGAGTGTGTGATATGTGTGTTTGTTTCATTACATGTGTGTAAATGTACGTCCTCCGCTGGAAGTGGTTATACCAAGAATATGGCTGCTCCTGCAGCCGTGTTCTTGGTACCGTATAAGGGCCTGTTCACACCACTTGCAGTGCGTTCCGGCCGGAACGCACTGCATCGCATTGCGGCCGGCTAACTTTTTTGCCGGGCAGGAGGGGGGCGTGGTGGGCCATTGAAGTGAATGGCTCCTTAGCCACTACCTCCGGCTGCAATGCAATCGCCCGCACTGGATCGCAGGGCACATTGTGCCTGCGGTCCGGTGTTGTCAAAATGCTGCAAGCACTATTTTAATCGCACCGCCCCAGAACGCACTGCAGGTACAATGTGCGGGCAATCGCATTGCAGCCGGAGGGTGTGGCCAGGGTGCCATTCACTTTAATTGTCCGCCACTCCCCCTCCAGCCCGGCAAAAAAGTGAGCTGGCCGCAATGCGGGCAGTGCGTTCTGGCCAGAATCGGACCGGAGCGCACTGCTTATGGTGTGAACTAACCCTAAGCCCTTCGTCCAGTAGACATGTGCGATTCGTTTCAGAAAAATTAGTTTTCCGGATGAAATTCGTTAGCGGTAGTCTGTACGCATTTTCGTTTGTGGACGAATTTTCATTGCAGCAAAGTGACAATTAAAAAAAAAAATTTAATGTCACTTTGCTGCAATGAAACGAGCGATACAAACATGACACGGAAATGAACATTCGTACAGACTACCGCTAACGAATTTCGTCCGAATCCCGAAAAATGAAATAACGCAAAACCCGAATCAAAACAAGATGAAACTAAACAATTTTCTAGTGTCCAGCGGGTCACAAAGCCCTGAGTCCAGCGGGTCACGAAGCCCTGCGCCCAGCGGGTAATGTGACTGTCCTCCTTTGTGGTGTCCTTTGTGGTGTCGCCCTTTCTATCCCATTTTTTTTTTAGCAGGCGAACCTTTCGCTCGGACTACTCTATTTCTTTCATGTAAGTTCTACTGGCCGCTGTGACCCTTATAGTATATTACGTTTTTTTCGTATTCACTGGAGGATATTTCCTCCATATATATATATATTAATTTTCATTTCTACATTAATTGTATTTTGGCCAGTGACTATGCCTCCTTGCTCATTCCCTCTAGACCTTTTATTACTGGTCCTATCCCTCCACCTCTGGCTCAATACTGGGATTTGGCTCACACATCACCCATCCTGCTATTAGGGGGAGGGTGCAGGTGCCTTGCTTGAACAGACCCGTCCAGATATACACACATCAGCCTATACAAATTGGTAGGTGATAATCTCACCTTATGTATTATTTTCATTTCATATATAACCATGAATGTATAGATTACGCTTATTGTTGCCCCTTGTTTCTTTAAAATGTATAGATACTCTCTTGTTCCTGAAGAAGCGCCTGTGTGCGCGAACGTTGAACGAACCGGTTCCTCCATTTTTCCTTCTATTATTGTACAACATTTTTCCAGCATCACTGTTTTTTCAAATCATGTTTATGATTAATTGTTGTTTATCTGCTGATTATTGTTACTCAATCATGTACCTTGCCTATTAATTTTCATATATCACAGAATCATGTTGTTTGGAAGGTTTATCTATGGAGTGAACCCATAGGGAGCTAAATTACTCAGCTGACTATATGTTTTAATTATTGGATCTTTGATCCAGCTTTTTAAAATTCCTTATTCTAATAAAAAATTAACTTTTATATGAATTATTGTTTCATGGAGTTGTTTCCTTTTGGTGCTCTCAAAACCCCACTCTCTGTTTCTTGAAACTACAATCTTCAGGGGTGTGGCACCTACTATTCGGATCTAGGTTCAAATCAATTCTATCCAAGCCATATATTTGGTGAAAGTGCAGAACCTGTAGAACTAAAATATTGTACTGGTGATTTTGTCATGCAATTGGACATGATTCAGAATAGGGATGAGCTTCGCGTTCGAGTCGAACCTATGTTCGACTCGAACATAGCATGTTCGAGCGTTCGCCGAACACCGAACATTATGGGATGTCCGCGGTCTGTTCGACCGCGGCACATCCCACAATGCACTGCGCCGTCCGAAGCGGCAATTGGCTACAGTTGGCTGAAGGAAAAAGGGAGAAGGGAACGACTGAATAGAAGGGACGGGGGGGAATAGAAGGGAAGGCGAGAAAATGAAAGAGAAGCTGGACATAGACAATATCATTACACAGACTTACCTGCTGTAGACAGAGTGATAAATAGGGTGGCTGTTGTATACGATAATCTAGAACACACAAATTAGAAATGTTTTAGTTCCATAACCCAGAAAGCTTGCACTTTTATTCTATTAAAGTGTATTTATACCGAAAACTCAGTTTTTTTTTTAGTTGTGGATAGGATGGGGAAAGGTAAGCACTAGACATGTGCACTGCCAAAAAATTTGTTTAGTTTAGTTTCGTTTTAAATTCGGATTTGTGTTATTTAGTTTTTCAGGATTCGGGTGTGAAAGTCAATTCGGATTCGGAATTCGGATTCGGACGAAATTCGGTAGCGTTAGTACGAACGTTCGTTTCGTTTTCTGTTCTTATTCGTTTCGTTCGTTTGTTTGCAGCAAAAGTGACATTTGAGGGGGAAAAAATATTTTTCTCCTTCTCTAATTTCACTTTGCTCCAACAAACGAAACGAATAAGAAACGAATAAGAACAGAAAACGAAACGAACGTTCGTACTAACGCTACCGAATTTCGGAAATGGAAATTCGGATTCGTTTGCATTCGTTATGTCTGTAATTCGGAATTCGGATACATCCGAATGTCCGAATTTCCGAAAATTCGTCCGAATTTCGATTCGGAACGAAACGAATCGCACATGTCTAGTAAGCACCCCTGTCAGTTTTTACTGCTATCTGGGGTTATGGGAGAGAGATTTCGCCTAACTTCCTGCTCTAAGGACGACGTTTTAACAGGCAGGAATTTAAGAAAATCTGCAACAGGAAAACAGACAACAATAAAACAGCGACAAAGGTTCTAGCATACCCCTACTTAACTAAAAACTAGATATGTACCGATAACATTTTTTCGGTATCGAGTATTGATATTTTTTTCCCGGATCTAGCCGATACCGAATAACGATACCGGAAGTTCCATTAAAGAAACCAGGCGGTGTTTAATGACTCGCTGCCCAGCTTCCTGATTGACCGGGAAGCTGGCTCCATGCTCCCTCATCACCAGGTGACGAGGAAGCATGAAGCCAGATTTCTGGCCAATCAAGAAGCCGAGGGGCGGATAATGACTCACCACCTGGCTTCCTGATTGGCCAGCTTCCTAACCAATTAGGAAGCCGGGCGGCGAGTCATTACCCGTCCCCGGCTTCCTGATTGGCCGGGAAGCCAGCTCCATACTCCCAAACAGACAGACCTGTGTTTCAGGGACCTGCAGTAAAATAAGAGGGTCAGCAAGGCATAACATTTTGAGGCACCATTAGGTTAAGTCTGTGTTGGAAATGCAACAGCATATTACTGACATTCTGTTGCACTGTTATTTCTTTTGAGCTATAGATGACGCTGCAATGTTAGTTTTCTATATGCATGCTTATCTAGGATACATAGGAAGTGTTCTCTGTATGCTGTATAATGCTGTATTCTGATATAATATTCTTCTAAGGAAATAAAACTTAATTCAACATTCCTCAAGATCTCAGTGCTTCATCTAAACACATAACCAACAGCATGGATATGTAATGAGTAAATATTGTTGCACCATGTACATATATAATTGTAAATTATAAATAGAAACAAGGTCAATTTTAACATGTATTGATAGGAATATTTACATCAAGCTGTTCTTATGCAATACATTTTAAAGTCACATGACACAGCCTACCTACTTAATGACTAGTTTCCATCCTGGTATTCATCTTTTGCAGATGGCTGCCCTGTGTGTTACATCCCTATAGCTACATTCGCCAAGAAAGGCAATGTTCAAATACACTCATGCTGTAATATTTCCTTTATTAAAGGCTAGTACAAAGGTCAAAAACAATTGATGTATTCAGCCAACAATTTTTTCATGTAAAGTGCACCCTTTCTGAAGGTATCTGGATAAACCACTGTTTGAGTCACACCTACTGTATTTACATTGTTCACAGAAACACAACTTTAACCCCTGTAGAGGGAAACAGGCTTAACTGGTACTGGCAAAAGTAATCCATGCCCAAGACAATGACACCCAGGCACAGTTGCAAGCAGGTTTGTCCTCAGCGGCGGATTTACTCTCTCTGCTGCCCCAAGGCCAGGTTCCTCAATCCGTCCCCCTACCAAAGCAGGGCTAAATGTAGAAAAAAAACTACCCGCTCGGTGCCCGATACCGCATGTCCGGGGCATCGGGAGATCGGAATTCCACACCCCTACTGCCCCGAAGCCAGGCCTTGGTTGGCCTTGTGGGAAATCCGGCCCTGTTTGTCCTGCACTTTTGTAGCACCCCCTGACCATCAGAGGCATAGCATGGACCCCCAAAGGCAGGGAGGGCTGACATTTTGTTCTTAGGGGTAGATCCTAGGCCAGTGAAGGAATGTGTGATCAAAGAAAGGTTGGGCGCCAGTCACTTTAAGCATCTTTTTAAATGTTTTTTTGTAGAATTCCATAACTGGGAGAAAGGAAATAGGGCAAAATAGAATGGAACAGAACTCCAGACTCATCATTCCCTTTCAGTATTCCACAGTGCAGAATCAAAAGGAGCACAGGCTGACAATGGGTATTAGAGCAACAGCTGAACAGGGATAAGCATGAGATCTTCAACAGGAGAGACACCAGACTTGCTCCTGAGGACCATTCTAGTAACCAGGCACCTCCAGTTGCCATCAGCTTCTCTGGTTCTCTTCCTTAATCAGTATCAGACCCCTCCAGGGTCCATGTGTAAGGCCTCCTCCAGGCATGAGGCCATGTAGAATTTCCCGCACTTGAGCATCCCACCCAAGTCTGGGGGCGGGCTAGAATTAGACTGAGCACATGGCAATTCCCCTGAGTATAAATGCACTACCCCAGCATGCACTACTGGTCATGAGACCCCCAGGGATTGGCTGGTGAGCCACACACACTCTTAATGTTACCTCATTTGCTGTCCCACTCTGCAGCAAGGTCACATCCCACTTAGGTAGTGTAGAGGATGGCAAGGCTGGGTCCTGGATGGGAGATATGTATCACCACTGTTTGGGCTGTGGTCCCTTTAAGGGCATCCACAGGGATAACCTTCCTGCCCCAGAAAGGAGTTTAAAGGTCGGCAACTCCCAGAGAGGAGTGTGGGGAGTTGAGTAGAGAGTAATTAGCTGTGGCTAGTGAGAGATCTGCTGTATTGCTGTGCTACTGTGCTGGGCTGCCGGACTAACATTCCTGGGAAGGGATTCCCCCAGGTTTGGGCCTTTATACAACAAGTCGGTGAGACAAAACCCGCTGTGCGAGTGCTCTGTGAGCTCCCCAACATCACAATAGTTACAATCAATAGCGAATATAAAGAAATTCTGCGTTATGGAAGCTGTCTCAAAGTAATAAATAAATATAAAATATCAAAGATGAACAGCTGCTGTGCTAATTAAATAAATAAATTAGATCAAACAGATGCACCATGCTAATCAATAATCATAATACGTGAATAATAAAGTGCTAGATATCAAATAAATCATATAACCAATATAGTTCATAAATACTCAAATAATAAAATGTGTCTCTCATTAGAATATCTCCAGTAGAGATTATGTGTAAATTGATAATTATATAGTCCACCATTAATTGATGCAAATAAAGTGACAAAGTGCCAAGATGTAAATAACCATCAGTGATAAATATAATAAAGCCAGACTGACTACAGCTTTGGCTGAGCTAAACTTCTAGTAGCCACTCCACAAAAAGTGCTAGGGGCTTACAATTTGTTTAGCAAGGCAACAAACAAACACAATTTTCAGTACAGGAGGGCTTTGTACAGTGAATAGCATAAAACAAAACATCTGCTCGTCCAAGGTGCTAATTAAACTCAGTTTAGTTCTTGCCTAACAGGGTGCCCCAAAACAAATATGGAGCACTTGTACTTTTTTAGTGTTCTGTCATCACTCAGCATTTTCAACCAGCAGCCTTACCATATGTACCTGAGAAAACTAGACGACACATACACACTGTCCACAATCCTGTAATACAGTACCTTACACCCAATAACAAAGTGCCAAACAGCGGATTCCGGCCATGTGCAACATATATTCACATCATATTAACAAACAGCTAACAAACCAACTGATAAACCTCGCATTACATTAAAGCGACATTAAAGTAAAAAAAAAATGTTTTCCTTCCCCCCAATGTTAATGTTAGCACTTACCTTAAATGAGGTTTCTTAATCCGATCTTCCTCTTTCCTGATGTTTTCATCTGTCTCTCCAGCGGCTTTCATCTGTCCCTCCAGCGGCTGTCCGATCCAGCGCTGACTCTCTGCTTGCTGGCACTTCTGATCCCACGGTGTCTGCATGCAGGTGCACGCGTCCATAGACTTACCTTGCGCCTCTGCTCGTCTCCCGGCTGAAAATCTGAACTGCGCATGTGCCCGCCCCAAGATGCTTTACGGCCGCCCGAGCAGTTTCGGATTCTCGGACAGGAGCGCGTGCCGAAAACAGGGTAAGTTTAAACCGCTGTCAAAGCGTTTAAAAAAATTTTTTTTTGCCTATATCTACTGCTTGCTAGCAGTAGATATAGGCAAAAAAACGGAGGGTTTAGAAACCTTTTAAGACAAAGCAAACCCATATTCCTACAGAAAATAAGCTAATTTGTTGCTATAATTTAATTCTATAAATAGAAATAGAATGTTCAGACCTCCATTACCAGTGGTACTCAAACCCACAAATATATGAAAAATTGTCACAGTTTTATTGTACTTAATAATTAAACCCAAATATGACAAACATGACATAAACCCCCCTTCCTAAAAACATTTAAAAATATCCCCAGCATGCCTGTGGAGCCACTATGTACCATCCAATAATGCCTAATATTTCCAGGATATATCCTGGTGCTGCAAATGATATCTCTAGGAATATAATTTGTTTGCAAACAGGGAAAGACGAAGTCCTATTAGAAAAGGTGAAACTGATATGTATGCCAATTTGGATTTTAGAGCATATTGTAGGACTAAAGGAGTTGTAAATCCGGGAAACAGTCAATTAACTCTTGTGGGCATAGTGTGCATGTGACTCAGAAATAGTATAGATGATTCTATTTAGCATATATCAATGCCCTTCAATGCTATGGT